GCCGATGCCAACTTCTTTGGTGCCGTCAGGTTGTTCGAGAAACGCACATTGGTCTTGTTCTTGGCCTTTTTCTTGAGTTTCTTCCGCGCCACCATAACCGGAACAGATGAATGCGTAACAAGATAGTTTGAGAATGATCCAAGGAGTACACTACCAACATGCATTAGCTACTTCCTCACTGCGTTTATCTTGGCAAAAACGAAGACTTACCCTTTCAGCGCACTTCGCCCCCTAGCCCCAACAATCACGAGTGTGGGTTCCAGCCCATCAATCTATAACACGAAGTTAGCAAAGTTTTCAATTAGTGTTAGAGTGTGAAAGAGAATGAACATACAGCCTCTGTGATCATATGCTTGGGACTCTTGCAATGGATTACTTCAACAGCAATTCGGACCTGTAATAAGGTCTTTCGCAGAAGTCGAACACAGGTTTGAGAAATGAGATGGACTGCATGCGAGCGTTCGGCTTCTGCCTTGGACATTCCACGTGAATCAGCAGATCCAGGCCTGCTATCAGTTCCCGAGCCCAGGCGGTTGAGGATCGCACGGGATATATTGGGATTAGAGGATTCGTTTTCTGTTTTCCGAGCCGTCTCGGCTGTTTGGGAGCCCACCACAGCAGCAACGTCTTGTGTTGCTTTGGCACCTTCTCCAATTTGGGTCCCTGTTTCCTCGTGCATAGCAAAAACGGCGAACATGGTGTCTCCATCTCGTAATATTGTCCCAATCGTCCATTCTAGAGCGTAGACAGACTCCTCACTGAGATCCGTCGTCACTAGATACTTGCGTTGCCGCCCTCGGCCGCCCTCGCCATCCTCCTGCATGTTGGTATAATCCCCGCGGATGATGGTTCGGATGGATCGGTTGCGAACTGAATTATCAACGCTAGACATCTGGATGCTGAGTTTCTGAGCGCGTTTGATATCGGATAATTCTGCTTCATCATCGGAGCCAAATGGCGTGTTAAGTACTGAAGGTGAATCGAAACTCGTATGCGGCTGAACCTCTGGGGTTTTCGGCATCGGTCCGGTCTTTGAGGAATGAATCAACTCTGGGCCTTGAGGTTTGGTTTCCTCACCGTCTGTATATTGTCTGTCAGCAACTCTTACTGGTAACTCGGTGCACATCAAAATGCAAGACTTCGGAGCACAAATAGGAATCAAGTTACATACCAGTCTCATCCGAAGCAGGTTTTGACTCTTCTGAGGTTTCGCCTGAACTGGAAGAATCCGGTTCAGCTTCCTTCCTTCGACCACGCTTCACGTCTTCACTGTTATCCTCAGAACCAACTTCGTCGTCACTCGAAGACAGCTCGTCTTCTTCCTCGCTAGAATCAGACGCGTTATTGTCACTGTCGTACAAGCGCTCATCTCCAGACGCGGAGCCTTTGACGTCACCTTCCGAAGATCCGTTGCGAATCGCAGGGGGGCGAAGAAGCTTTTCGTCTGATTTTTCAACTTTACTTTCTTTTGTCTTATCGGTCTGGGACTTGGGGGCATCAGATACCGCAGTGCGAAGATTGGAGTTTGGCAAGCGGCGCGCTGGCGAGCCGGACTGCGCCCTCCTCCCCAGTGTGGGAAGGTGCGAGTCTAAGGAAGTACCCCTCTTCGTGGCACTTCGACTGGAATCCCGTCCTCTGCTGAAACTCGGCAGTCCGACCTTGAGATCGAACCCTGACATCACTGCGGCCATCGCATTCTTGCCCGGAAGCGCCCGGGGAGCCTTCTCCTGCGGCGGGCCGAATCGCCTTCCATTAGCACTAGGCGGCATATCGACACCGGAATCCCAACGGATACTTGGTCGCCTAGCCTCGGGAGAGCCTGCCTTTCTATCACCGCTCTTCTCCTTGTCATTCGAGGCCGGCGGATCCGGACGTTTGAGCGGGGGAGGAGCGGTTTTCAAACTCGTGTAGGGCGTTTTGGGAGTTGTTACTGGCGTAGTTGATGGTGTAGAAGAGGCTGAAGAGGCTGAAGAAGAGGGGGTTTCGTTGGAATCGTTATTCATTGTCGGTGCCACGGCTGGTGAAGTAGGGGGAGAATCTTGGTAGCCGCGACCAGCGGGCGGAGTCACACCAACACCGATGCCCGCAATGGAACCATGCCGTGGGGCGACGAAACCGGGAGAGGGACCGGTGGCGGTGTCGAGTATACTTCGTCTCGGAGGTGCGTAGGTCGTAGTTGGGCGATTTGTGGCCGAATTTCGAAGCTCAGCAGCAAGCTCAAGACGTTCTTCTTCGAGCGCAGCGGCCAGCCCGCCGGGTCTGCGATGCGAAGACATTCTTGTGGGTGGCGCCGCCCACGGCTGTTGACGAGCGTGTGGAGAACCGTCCTCTCAGCGAAAGAGGTGCCCAATGTGGAGAGCTATCTGGACGGCGACAGTTAGTTCCACTGGAACTTTGCGCTTCAGTTGTAGAGATAAGGGGGGGGATTTTTTTTTCTTCTTTACCTAGGATTTGGACGATTTATCGGATATAGGTGGGGGGGGGCAATGGATATTGATATATGCCCAAGGCTGGGCAAGCAGCTAGGCTGCAGCTAGTAAAACTGGAGCTCAGAGCTGAAGGAGGGTTTCGGGAGGCCGTCTCCACGTGTAAATGGTGAAGCCTTGAAGATCTAGACCGGTGGGAAGGCGGCCTTGGTTCGCCGCGGATGGCTTTCAGGATCGGGATCTTCTTTGTTCAGTGGTTTCTCTCGGGCTTAGCATTCCTCGTTCCTTCACCCTCGGATAACGAGTGGTCCAGCGGAGCCAGCGGTGACGCTGTGAATGCAGCCCGCCCAATACCGCGGTAAAAGAAGATTCCCTGCCAATCACAGCGAGAATCACACTGTGCAATTCCGAGTATTTTCTCTCGGACGACGGGGCAGAACGCAAGGAAGGTGATTTCCGGGGAAGGACGACGGGGCCGGGGGACTTGGAAGCTATTTGGCGGGGCTGTGAGAGCGGGGAGTAAAGCAGTCGTCCTCCAGGTGGGATTAGATCAAGTTAAATCATCGCGGGGGATGTGAAGTTCCCATGAGGAATCACAATGGACAGAATGGATAGCCTTTCGAGTTGCAATCCTCGGCATGCGGGGTATAAAGCCAAACAGGCCACAATCATTCAGCAAGCCCGTCCACACCTGCTCCATCTCCCTTGCAGTTTCTCGTTAGCTCGAGCAGATCAGCTCAAGGGACGCGACAAGGTGGCCTCAGCTGTTGGACAGAGGGTGACACTGCAGCTCCCTTCCCTAGCCGATCAATAGTTGAAATGCATTAGGAATGACGCACAGGAGATCTCCAATCAGGCAGCACTAGGAGCTCATTACTGAGTCACTGACGGCGACGGTCCCGGCGTGGTTCTTCTGTCGTGTGATGCTTCTGTGTGGCTGTGGTGAACCAGACTTGGGACGGCAATCATTTGAGCTATTTGAATCACCAGTAAAAGAACCAAATTTCCCATCAAGGCAAAGGCCAAGCAAGACAAATCATGGGATTCTACGAAGACTTGCGACTCTGGACAGCGCGGATGCGATGATGATAACTCCCACAACGCCCCGATACCCAATAAATACAATAATAGACTATGGATCAATCCACTTTCATATCCAAGCTCCTCTATGCCTTTGTCTTGGATTTTGTTTTCTTCGAGCTCCGCCGCGCAGCAGTAGCTTCAAACGCCTCCTCTGGTGGCTCGTCCATCGCCACTCGCTTTTTCCCAGAAGGGTTGTACTTCGCTTCTAGCCGGTCAAAGAACGAGTCCGCGCGAGACGCTTGTCGCTGCTGAATGAGGGCAGCCAAATCATTATTGTTCCCCGGCGCACTGCCTTTGTTGCTCCTTCGCCCCCCCGCTTTTGCGTTGCTCCCCTCCTTCTCCTTCTCCAGCTTCTTCGCTAGCTTTTCTGCCTCTTTTGCCTCTTTCTGTGCACGCTTTAGTCGTTGTCCCCGCTTCTTCTCTGGCTCTTCCGTATAAGCCTTGTATCCCTGGACTCTCCCCGACTCAATGGCCTTGTCTATGATGGTACGGAAGCGGTCGTCGTCGTCTAGAACATTGCAAAGCATCACCGACTCGTAGATCTTATCTAAATCACCTTCATGATTTTCAAAGGCAGCAAGCAGATCCCGTTCCTCTTCCTCTGATCCCTGGTATTCCTCCTTAAATTTCTCGAGGGCGTTCGTGTCAATCGCATTCGAGAATTGTTCCCGGTAGAAGTCCACCCAGTCAAAGGCATCGTCCAGATCAACAGCCTCGGCGGTGCTACCAGTCAGATCGAAGCGCTGTCGTCGTCGGGTATCGGACAAGATTGCATAGGCGAACGCAATCTTCTGAAACTGTTGGTTGGCCTCTTCTCGGGCGTCTTCTCGGGCCTTGTCTTTGGCTTCGTTAGCTCGGGAGCGTACAAGTACATAAATCAGGAGCTCAAGAATAAGTACCAGGATGATGTCTTAACGCAAGTTTCCTGTAAGCTGACTTGATCTGCTCTGGGGTGGCATCTTCCTTGACGCCTAGGATCCCGTAGAGATCTGTCTCAGCAGGCGGCTCGTCGGGGATTTCGGGAATTCCATCTTCCTTGGGGGCCATTCTATTCAATTTCGCGTCGCAAAATCTTCGTAAGAGTCGTAGTGAGCGAAAGCAAGGTAAGTTGAAGAAATAATCATTGAGACGACGACGCGTTGCGACGCGACCAGGGAAGCTCTTTGGTTGCCTAATCGGGTATAGACCAGAACAGACCTCTATTTGGCCGGAGAAGTCACAAACAAGAGTAATAATAATATTCACGACATCCCATGGTCCCCCCTGCTATTACAACGGGCCATCTCAGACTACTCCGATAACTATTCTGCCTAGGTGGTACTTCCTACCTGGTTGCTGCCGGGGCCACATTGGGAATGGAGCTAATCACTTTCCCGACGGGCAACCCAAACTAGCGGTGCTTCTCCGCTATCGAACCTGGTAAGGCTGATATGCACGCTCTCACTCCTTGCACCTATGTATGGACGCCCTGCAACAGAAGAGGATTTGAATATGACCCAGCGTCGTCCATACCGCTCCCACAAGTTCCCAGCGTGCGACAGATGCCGCCGATTTAAGCGGCGGTGCACGGGTGGTGCGCCGGATCGCCCTTGCGTGCTATGCAGCCTTCAGGAAGCTCCCTGCGAATTTACCTCCAGCCCGCTGCAGAAGAGTCGGTCTGCGTCAGAGCGTGCTGCGAGACGCAATGTCGATCAACGAACAGTTGTGCAAAGCCCATTACCCAGACCTGAGCCGGATTCGTCCACTATAGATGAAGAGGCGGGACAAGATCGGGTTGGGCCGCATTATCACGGTGGTCCAAACCAGGATCCCTCCAAGCCAGTCCTCTCTATGGTAGCTAATCCGGTGATTTCGGAGGATATTCGAATCCTAGAGAGATATACGTCCTCCCAGGCACCAACGAATAATCCCATGGTGTACATGAATGTCCCCCGACAGAGAGAAGGGCTCGCAATGGCCGAGAACCCAGGGAAACAACAGGTGGAGATCCTTATGCAGATCCTAAAGCCCTCTGCAAATGAATTATTTGACTTGTGCGTCCTCAAAAAGCTTCGTGGAAAGCTTCTCACATGGTTTGTGTGCCCTGGCTAACGCTGGTCAAGATACTTCGAGCACATTCACCCGGCATTTCCGGTATTCGATCAAGATTCGTTCACTCAATTGTATCGCAGCAACAAGGTTTCGCCAACCCTTACTTGTGACTTTTTTGCCGTGGCACAGATTCTGTGGGACTTTTCGCCCACTCTCAAGAAGCTGCCGCGGCCGGATTCCTTCTTCCTGTGGAACCTAGCTGTCGAAGCGCTGCAGCAAGATTTTCTTGTCCCAGGCTTATCCACGCTTTATGGAGTTGTTTTAGACATGGCAGGGCGTCCCATTTGCTCCGTTGCTCAAAATACAATCAACACAGGACGTGCGGTCTCGCTAGCGTTGAGCCTGGGGTTGAATCGCAATCCGACGGGCTGGAAACGCCCGGTTATCGAGAGAGATCTACGAAGGCGTCTCTGGTGGGCTGTATTAATACACGATTACTGGTAATATCATTCCCTTCTTCTTTCTTCAAGTACTGATCCTGCTTTTCAGGTCAAGTTTTGCGCATGGTACGCCACCGATGATCCGCAAGGATCAATATGATGTCCCGGTCCCTGCCGTTCATGACTTTGTCACATCATCGCATCACTCGGAGCGGCATACCATAGCTTATAATTGCTTCTCGAGCCTATGTCGTCTAACCATAATTCTCGGAGACATCCTTCCGCTTGCATATAATTTGACGATCGACCAAGATGATATCTGGAAACAGATCCGCCGTTTGGAGTCTGATCTAGATGCGTGGGATGATTGCCTCCCTGATGAAGCGCGACCCCGAGATGGTGATAAACGAAGGATCCCGGGTTGCAGCAACTTGCGTCTGGGCTATCTCTCTATCAGGTTACTACTTAAACGGATAACATTGCACGTATGTATATCTTCGCCCCAGTCTGGAACAGTATTGACGGTTTGTAGGCCGCGGCAGTATCAACAGACACGGAGCGCAAACAAAATATGGCATATTACCTTGGTCAATTGCGCAGATCAGCTCAAGACATCGTAAATTTCTTCTGCGCTCTCACAAAGGCGCAGTTCCAAGAATACTGGCTCCCCTGTACGTATATCAACAACTAATACTGTCCCCATACTGATGTAATAATATCGCAGACACCGCCCACCACCTCATTCTAACCGTTATAATTCTCCTCCGCTGCACAGTTGAATCCCGCGAACCAGTCGTCGCAGAAAAATGCAGAACAGACCTTGACCGATTTTGGACGAAGCTGCAAGCTGCGGCAAAGGACGGATGGGATCTAGCGAACATTTGCATTACGCAGTTTGCAGAATCCGTTTCGAAGATTCTGTCCATGTCCGCGTCAACTACAGTCACCGTTGATGCACTCGAGGCGGGGCCCTCAGTTCTCCTTGAGCCACCCGAGGGCAGAAACGGAATACCAATGCAGTACATCGCACCGGACCTATTTCCCGACATCCTTCCATACTCGAACCCAGATATGTCATTTGATAACCAGTGGGATATTGGGAGCTTGTCGGGGCTGGGGTGGATGGATATGTTCCCGAGTACCTGATCCTTTATGTGAGCATGGCGTGATTCCAATGATTTTTTTTCCTGCATGAGGTGCATAATGATGTGCACATATCATTTTGGTTTCTTTGCCTAATCATTAAGGCTGGGTTGTTATTAACCCAACCCTTCCCTTTCTTGGCTGCCGCCAACAAAAACAAGAGTCGAATTGTTCGAGAAGCTGCGCAGCACGTTTCAGAGTGAAGTCCTAGAGTTCAGTGTTGATCGCCTGGCGCTATATAAAATGTGATGGAGAATCCTCCTTGCGTTCAGAGAAGCATGTGATCAACAGCTGCTCAGGACACTGGCACAGGAAGATGAGTCGGTGAAAATCTAGCAGCCTGCAGAACTGGTTGAAAAGGTAGTATCTGGAATTCGAGTTATAGACGTGTTGAGATACTTGTTGGAGCAAGGTGAAGACTGGAGCTGGAGCCCTGGAGCGGGCGGGCGGACGATAGGTCGCACCTTCCCTCTGGGAAATCGCTCTTTCCTGGGTGAGACTGCCATTGTCTGGCCTGCGAGGCAGGTGCGATGGAGACCTTGGTTTTATGGGCTGATGGTTCACTGCTCCTTCCCTTAGGACCTGGATCTTTTTATAAAAGCAGGCCTGCAGAATAGGCGTGAGATCACGAAGATAGGACTCGCGACTATATGTCATCTTATTCAGGCCGAGTTTGTAGGGACCCCCATCTGTCGAGCCACTGTCCACGATAATAGCCTTAGGCGAGAACTATTCAATGCTATACCAGAAGTGCTCCACTCGGTAGCCATAGCCCAGCATGGCATTCGGTGTTAGGATGCTGAACCCAGAGGCCACCGTCGTGATTGCATATGATATGTGCAGATGTCAAGAGCATCCGACTTACCGATGGTTTAAATACAGTAATCAATGATGCTAGTAATGTCAATATGCCAACCACATGCCTGACACGTCTGACAAGTAGTTTCCATCCAGCCAACTTACACAGAGGCCAATTAGGAGACCAGATGCTCAAAGTAAAGAATACAAAGGAAATATTGAGAGGCTAGGCACTGACAAGCCCTAATCCCTTTCATCCTCAGGCTGACCTTGGACCCCGGGGAAATCAAACTTTGGGTAGAGATATATAGGTGAATAAAGCTCACTCCCATATCTCTTCCAATAGTTGCAGTCTAAACGTTTCTCCAAAGAATCCAGGTAAATACCGCTCTCTTATCGTGCAGATGAGCCCGGCCACCCTCCATATGCAAGTGGTGAAGATTAACTTAGTTAATACGACCATCTGTTCAACTCACTCAACAATTTTCTAATCACTTGAAGTGATGTTGTCTTTCTAGATACTGTGTCCACGATAGCTTCAACGCCAAATTGTTATTCCCTGAGTTCGACAACGGCGTATAAAGTTGGGGCATGCACAGCGGAAATACCAAGATGGCAGCCGGTGCTGAGGGCGCATTATTCAACCTCAACATCGTTACGATAAGCATCAAGCAGACTAAATCCTTCGTGACAAAGCGTGGGGATGGAGGCAAGTTCGGACCCAGATGGGGGCCGGACGCTCTATGCATGCATCGTGCACACTAAAACAGGATTTTGCATTAAGGGATCTTGGCGTATTCAGACGTAGGATTGCTCGTTGGGACTAATACTGCCCTCCAAGGGAGAGTTCATGGGGTGTTGTTAGAGCTGCCCTGGAGATGTCTTTGATCGGACTGGGACACTGTTGCGGCGCATCAAGGTTGACGCTGAGGATGTGGCGGTTTGTGGCTTAAGCAGGAAGGTGATTGTATATCTTTAGGAATAAGATATTTAGAGTTAAACTTAAGACAAAGGAGGCCAGGCCTGGTTTCGCTTATACTCTGATGTGGTATCCTGATGTTGGCCTAAATGAGTAGTTTAGGTATAAGGCAGTGCTAACTTAAGTGTAATCAATTGGGAAGAAGCCCATGAGGCAGTTGTATGTGCCAGGAGCGATTAAGCAAGGGATAGCCCGAGGAATATTACTCTGTACTACCTTATGTATAGACATGTAAGCTGCCTGCCCTTCTAAGGCCTCCAAGGCGCATGCCTGAAGACGGGACGGGCTAGCACCTTCCTTGGGGGAAGGTGCACTTTCCTGAAACACTTGTACGTATACATCTAAACTAATCAGGCAGGAGCGATCGGGCACTGCACCGTAACTGCCAACAAGCTTGGCCGTTCCTTCCAAGCTTCCAACCGCAGTCGCACCTTCCTACCCCTACAAGGCTTGTTGTTCCTACCACAGCTGTTGTCTTATCTAAGTAAACGAAGCAGACTGCTCTTGCCGCCCTATGTAATATATCTCTCACCTCACTAGTATTAGAAACGCTGTTCGCACCCCAATTCTTGCCGGCGTTTACTAGTAGTACTGACGGGTAGTGCGTTGTACCTTGCAGAAGACTGCATGCACACGACAAAGTTATCTGATCCGACTTCGAACCAAAGTCTGGAGCAAAAGAAGAAGAAGAAGAAGAAAAAAAAAAAAAAAAAAAAAAAAAAAATTCTATTCGCCTCCACCTCCCTGGACCAGGTGTGAAGTTAGCGGCCGTCACCGATATCGCCTGTTGTCGGCGACGTCGGCAGGTTACAGAAGAGGCATGGTATATACGGAGAACAGAATGGTAATCTTAAGAATACGACAACACTGTTCTCATCCGAAGTTCAAGCGAGACCTGGACAGCCTGGTCTACCGGCCCGAGAGCAGAGCATCGGATGGTAGACCGGTAGCGAAGCTTCCGTTATATTAATCCCGCTGCGAGATACTCCTTAATACTGGTGTCAAGTGGATCAAATGTTCCTGTAGGGCGCACTAGGCAGCATGCATGAGTCAATCCAGTATATTCTAGCGAAGGAGGGGACACTAAGCGGATGGAACTCTTGAACGAGCTCGCTTAGTCCGTACTATGGAGTGCACCAGCCTTGTACCTCAGTGGGTAGTGGGGTGTCGGTGTCCTTCGAGACGTGGGCTGCTAAAAAAATGGGCCCTGCGAGGTGAAAGACAGAAGTGTATTTCGGCGGTCGGTACCGGTATCTTATCAGATTGATAACAAAGATGATCTGATACGGGAATACTTACGGTACACTAACCCAATACCGTGTGGTTAGCGCCCGGCGTATTGTTTTACAGATACGGATGGGTATCATCAAAGCCCACTCAAATCCATAATATGGATCCATCCATGACAGACGACCCGCACCGGAAAAAAGAAAACATAAGGAGGATTGGGACCCAAAAAGCGATTCATGCCGCGCAGTGCGCTGAGGCCCCTTCTCATCCCACACCTCATTCTCGAGTCAGGTCCTGCCTCTGGACTGAACCTTGGGGGGCCCGAAACCGGATCTGCATTAAGTTCTTCACCTCTTCAAATCCAGAACTACGCTCATTGGGCCTCACCAGTTCTCACTCAGCTGCATGAGCTCAACAGCGGGTAGTAACAGGCAAAGCGGGGGAGGCCTACGGAGTTTGGATGCAATCCACAGAATCCACAGCCTCGGCAATACTGGCGCCTGTCTAGACTCCAAGAAGCCAATATAAAGAGCGAAGCCCCAATGCGCACTTCGGTTATATGCTTGTATCATGTCGATCTTAGCGAAAATAAGGCAAACCTCAACGTCGGTCTGGGCCTCTGAGAACTCCAAAGTCATTATCTGATCATCTGATTAGACAGCCATCAATCCAGTTAACAGTCATGTCTCATATATGTGGATATCATAGGATAATGGGCTTTTATGGGAATTTCTCAACAACGAGCTAGGGGAAGCGTTTTAAAAGAAAAAAAAAAAAGTTTGCCGCTCCACTCGCAAGCAGTTGGACACCTACACCGTATAAAGGATATTGATTGATGGTAGATCGTGTCGGTCTTTCCAGGTCTCTGTGCAATTGAGGCTGTTGCCTCAACTGGGGTGATAGAGAGTGGTCGACACGGAGTAATCCAGCTTGCAATTTTAGTGATGGGGTTGTGTCTCGGAAGATTATCTGATTTAGATTAGATTGATAGCGATGTTGCAACAACTCCAACCCCCGAGTGGCTTTTGCTAGTGCTCTTGGCGGAGGAAATATTTTCGTCACCCCGGAGGGGGACAGGGGAGGAAATTCTTTTGCATTCTGGTCTGCAATCAATTGAGGCGCCTGGACTACTGGATGAAAGATTCAGTGTTTTATTGTGCGCTTTATAAATTCATTACCTTGTTAGGTGTCTTCCGAAGTTATAACAGTCCAAGGCCATGCTCCACGAGAGCGGAGGCATCTTTGTGGACCCACTCATCTTCATATCCACTGACTCGAATTGATGCCCCACTGCATTTAGAACAAAAGCTACAGGTTTGGAGTAGTTAAGCGGATTTCATAGTGCGACAAGAACATTATTATTCTGACTCGGAATGCGCTTCCGAGGTAGATTTCCCAGCACTCTACAGCTTCGCGTTCCATGCTGCGCGGTCTGCGCTTTCCAGCGGGCGCTCGCGCCCGTCCCACCAAAGCGGGCAAAGCTGGAACCATTTCTCGCGGCTGCAAAAGACATGGACGGAACGTTTGTGGCCCAGGTCAACATAGCTCTGGATAGTAAGCCCCTGCGCGTTCTCGTAGGAGAGGACAGTGCCACCAGTGGCCTTTGGCTCTCCAACCACGCATTGAGTTCGGGGCTCATCGAGGAAACAGTAATGGATACAACTTGACCACCAGGCGTTCACACGCTCGGCACCGCGGATGCTATGCTCCCCGACTAGAGAATGGCGACCACGATCGTAGTCTCCAGCATCGTAGTGTGCTCCGTAGTGATCCTCCTGTTTATGTGAAGAGCAGTTGTTAGAGTCTAGATCAAGAAATGTAAGTGTTGAGATATTGAACATACCTTGGCCCAGTAGATCTCATAATACCCGAAAGCAAAATCATCAAATCGCCCAAACAGGCACAAGGTGTGCTTGTCTTCATGTAGACGTCGCAAGTACTCGCGGTGCTCGTCAAGCGTGCCTGTCTCATTCCAGCCCTTGGCCACGCGGGGGTCATTTTGCCATCGGTTAAAACGCTCAAGATGCTCGTCGTTTTGCCAGTCAACCACCATAAGCGAAAAGTGCTTATCCAAATGTGGGATATAGCGACTATAGACAAGCGAGCCTGGAGTAGGCTTGGTAGGGCGAACGGGATGGCGGGCATAGATACGCTCTTGTGGGAATTTCATCGAAACCTCGTAGTTCTTAGGCATCGGGGGATATTGACTGCCAGATCCGCGGAGAAGGCCGTGAGTTCCTTGGTCAACTGCCCAGATCGGTCGTGGTCCGAGGGGCGAACCAGCGCCCTGCCAGAACGAAGACCGAAGCAAGATAAGAGTGTCAACACCAGAGGGTTGGCTCTCGTTGCCGAAAGGAACCCGAGGAGATGGATAATCGACTGCCAGCCCGGTGCGAATGCATTCTTCACGCACAATCTCTTTACCGGTACCCTTGAGGTCCAAGCGAAGGACCTCCCGATCGGGGTGGGTTAGAAAGGTAGCATGGATAATATTCCAGATCTGAGCAAAAGTAGGCGCTTCAGCACCACTCCATTGAAAAGTAATCCCTGGAGCTCTCTGGCTGCGTGCCCAAGGACTATTGTCATTATCCGGGATTTGTTTTGCGGACTCATCGAAAGAAATGTCTGTGTAGGTTAATGAATCATTGTGCAAGGTCTTCGGCAGTGGCTCTCCAGGCACTTGCGAGTCATGGAGTCTGAGTTGAAGCACTCGAGGGTTGGAATCGGAAACCACGTGGATTCTGTAGGTAGTGAGGTACGGGTGAGGAAGTTTCACCCATGGATATGCTGCGGTAGGCTGTGTTGTGCTCATTGTGAGGGGGTATTGAAAGAAACGTGAAGAAATGGACTCCAGATCCTGAGGGATCGGGGATGGCGCAGTTTATATATATGGAGGCACCTCAACGGTTACCTCGCCCCATACCTAGACTGCACGAGGTCGGAAGTGGAGAAATGCCCGGATCAGCGAAGATACCGGCCGGAAATCACTCCGAGGCACAAGGGCTGGAAGATCAGGCGACGTGGGACCGCCTATAAGGCTGCTTAAAGACTGCGAGCTGCTCCTCTTCCAAAGGGCCTCAGCACTCAAAGAAACCACCAAATATGCAACATCCACCGGTACAAGGATGTCTGGTCTCGTTTCCGACACCCGAGATTCTACTTCTCACACTTAACAGGCCAGAGAAGCGGAATTCCGTTCCGCTTGCTATGAGCGCGGACATCATACAGCTCTGGAAATGGTTTGACGCAGAGCCTACGCTGCGAGTTGCGATCATTACTGGTACAGGCGAATCCTTTTGCTCTGGAGCTGATCTCAAAGGTATGTCCAAGACTTCGAATCCTGTTGGGGGCCATTCATCTAAGCTAATATGCCGTCTACCAGAATGGAACGAACTCAACCAACGCGGCACTGTAAACAAGATGACAGCCCCTGGGCTGGCCGGTCTCCCTCGACGACGAAGCGTGAAGCCAATTATCGCCGCTGTGAATGGATACTGTCTGGGAGGCGGATTCGAAATGGTCGTCAACTGCGACATCGTCATCGCGAGTGAGAAGGCGAGCTTCGGGCTCCCTGAGGTTCAACGAGGAATTGCGGCTGTTGCTGGTGCTCTGCCTCGGTTAGTACGGCTGTTGGGAAAGCAGCGAGCGGCCGAAATAGCCTTAAGCGGCGTGCCTTTCCCTGCATCCCAGTTAGAACAGTGGGGATTGGTAAATCGGGTGGTGGAACACGATCAGCTCTTGGCAAGTGCGGTCCAAACCGCCAAAACCATTTCAGAAAACAGTCCGGATAGTCTGCGCGTTACACTGGAAGGTCTCCATTATGGATGGGAGATGGCAAGTGTGGAAGAAGCCAGTTCCACTTTGGTCGATTCGTGGTATCCGAAGCTCATGGCTGGCGAAAACTTCCACGAGGGAGTGAGAGCATTCGTGGAAAAGCGAAAACCAATCTGGAGGCCAAGTAACTTGTAACACCTCACACCTAATAATATGATGAACACGAGAATTGCAGAAAGTCATCGAGCTGGACTGGTTTTTCCTTCGCGCGATAATTACAGATACTCGAGACCAACAAAAAAGGAACCAGTATTACGAGCTTGTTACCGCGCTAGGAACGACGCTGCGTATTGTGGATGTGCGTAATTTACCACCAATCTATACTGACAGTACGCGATGTATTCAGAAACAGAGAACCACCCGCTCAAGTCTGCTCCAGTTTTCTGTGTTAGTGCGGGTGCTTGTCAAGTCCACGGCCCACATCCCACCTGCACGACCCGATCTCGGGCAATCCAATCATTTCAATGACTTGAGTCTATCCCCTATGCCGTCACTAAGCGGCTCGTCTATATAACACACACACACACACACACACACACACACACCGATTTCGCATGTCCGACTTATGCGAAGCTCCAGCTGATTCACGGGCTTGACCAGGAACGCTAGGCTCCGGTAACATGGGGTCTATACAGGTCGAGGAGTTCCTCGATCAGGGTCAGCCTAATGGCGACAGCTCCAGGTCTCTCAAAATTGTCGGTCTGACGCCAGACCGGCCCACTGCGACTGGTTTGAGAGAAGAAATCATCCTTTTATCCTGGTACATTGCGCTCCTTCGGACTAGCGAGGGCAGCCAAATCAGCTATGAATGGGCGTACGGAAGTCGCGGTGGTGGCCGCCCAACAGAGCTCGTGAAGAGACGCCTGGCGATAGACGAGCTGAAGATAGGCCTACAGAGCAGCATCGGAGAAGCTGCAATCGCGATTTCTAGTCATCTCGCGACAATCACGTCACGCGAGCATGAATATACTGGTCCCGCCTCTCTCCTTCTGAGCACCAGCTCCCTATCACAAACGTTTGAGTCTAAAGATGAGGTGAGTTGGGTGCGACAATGGTCGGATTATCTTACTAACGGTTAAAGGATGCACTTCGTTTGGAAGTATGCTTCGAATATGGGCGCCTCGAGATCCATCCGATTTGGCATAGTGATAACATGCTACCCTACACAATCACCCGATATATCGAGACATTCGCCGACGTCGTAAAATTGTGCCTTGCGAACCCCCACGCACTGGTTCGAGATTTCTACCTCCGCCCTACCGATTACGACCTGGATAGCATATGGAGCTGGAATCATATTCTGCCTCCGACCTACCAGTTTTGCATGCATGAATTGGTATCAGAGAAGGCTCGCGAATTCCCCGATAAAGAGGCGATCTGTTCCTGGGACGGCAGCTTGACATATGGGCAGATCGATCTGTATTCCTCATTTGTGGCATTCTCACTGAGGGAGCTGGGTGTCAGGCTACATGACGTACTCCCCGTGTGTTTTGAGAAATCGAGGTGGACGATTGTCGCAGTGCTTGGAGTGATGAAATCAGGAGCGACTTTCGTGCTCATGGACCCAACACTTCCTCTTGCGCGACTTCAGAACATCGCGCAGCAAGTGGGTGCGAAGATGATGCTCTCATCGAGCCAGCAGCAAGATCTCGCGACATTGATCATGCCGAACAGTGAACCTTTTGTTGTATGGGAAGACACATTTGCCGAGCCTTCAAACCTGGAAAATATTCCAGAGTTAAGCCCCGTGCCTTCATCCGCCCTAATGTACATGATCTTCACATCCGGCAGCACGGGAACTCCGAAAGGAGTAAAGTTATCTCATGAAACATATACGAGCAGTGCTATTCCTCGAGCCCAGGAGGTGGGCTATACAAAGGAATCGAGAGTGCTTGATTTTGCGTCCTATGCTTTCGACGTCAGCATCGATAGTATGCTTCTAACTCTTGGAAACGGCGGATGTCTTTGTATTCCATCAGATGAGGACCGAGTGAACGACATTAACGGTGTAATCCGCAACATGCGTGTCAACTATGCAGGTCTCACCCCGTCTGTGGCACGGATATTAGACACAGATGTCATTGAGTCACTCGAGGGTCTCGGGCTCGGGGGAGAAGCTGTCTCTGCCAGAGACTGCACGGTCTGGGGCAAACTTGCCAGGATTATTATTGGTTACGGCCCCTGCGAGTGCACGATCGGATGCACAGTGAACGGAAACTCTGCAACCGGTAGAGACTACATCTCCATTGGAAAAGGCAATGGGGCGGTCATGTGGATCACCGACCCCAACGATCACGAGCTGCTCGTGCCAGTTGGCGCTGTGGGTGAATTACTTGTCGAAGGTCCGATCGTTGGACAAGGCTACTTGAATGACCCCGAGAAGACCGCGGCCGCTTTCATTGGAGATCCGGCTTGGTTAGTCGCTGGCCACAAGGGTTACCGGGGCCGTCGTGGGCGTCTTTACAAGACAGGAGACCTCGGAAAATATGACCCTGACGGCTCTGGTGGCATTGTCTTTGCTGGGCGGAAAGACACACAGGTCAAGCTACGCGGGCAGCGTGTTGAGCTTGGTGAAATCGAAAGTCAACTTAGGGACAGGCTGCCTTCAGAGCTCAGCATCGTTGCCGAAGTCATTGTGTCCCATGGCCAACCAACTTTGGTAGCATTCGTGTCAGTTCAACCTCCAAAGAAACAAGATAATGCCGAGATACAGTCGGCAGAGCTTTCTGAGGAATTGAACAAAACAATATCCGAAGCCGACAAAGATGTGGCGAAAGTCTTGCCGCGTTACATGATCCCAACCGCATATATACCTATCAACTACATGCCTGTCCTAATCTCAGGCAAGACTGACCGCAAACGGCTCAGAGAATTCGGAACAAATGTGGACTTGAGACAGTTGGATCAAGGCGGCGCGAGCAGTAGCAACCAAACAGGAGAGCTGAGTGAACTTGAGCAACGCCTACGACTGGCATGGGCTGAGACATTGAAGCGCGACCCAGAAACCATTCGAGCAGACGACAACTTCTTCGCACTAGGTGGCGACTCTGTCTCGGCTATGAAACTTGTATCTATCTCTCGCGCGCATGGTCTTGAGCTCACCGTCGGCCATACTTTTGGCAGCCCTGTGCTAGCAGATATGGCAGCCGTTGTCACCATCTGCGACTCACAAGCACGAAAGGAAACACCTGCGTTTTCATTGTTATCACAGGCTGTCGATAGCGCCACTCTCGAGGCAGCACAAGCATGTGGGCTAGAGCCGTCAGCGGTTGAAGATATCTATCCTTGCACACCCACACAGGAATCACTCTTCACTTTCTCTCTCAAAGCAGTCGTAGCTTACGTCGCCCAGAGAGTCGCTACAATCCCATCACATATCGATCTTGACTCTTGGAAAAAGGCCTGGGAAGATGTTGTCGCAGTAAGCCCAATCTTGCGCACTCGTGTGGCTCAAATTTCAGAACCCGGTCTCCAACAAGTCGTGCTCAAAGAGAACATCTCCTGGAAACATTCAACCGACTTAGCTCAATATCTCAAGGACGACAAGGATGAGAAAATGGAACTCGGTCAAAGTCTAGCCCGATATGCCATTGTTGAAAGCCCAGATGACGGCAAGAGATACATGGTCTGGACGATCCACCACGTAGTCTACGACGGGTGGTCCGAGCCGATTGTGCTTCAACAAGTCAGCAACGCTTTACAAAAGCAACCTATTGAGATTCAATCCCAGATGAGAGAATTCGTCAAGTATGTGCGCGAGACGGATGAATCTGCAATGGAAGAATTCTGGAAGCGCGAATTACGAGGCGCCGTCGGACCTCAATTCCCCCGTCTGCCTTCTCGCGACTTCCTGCCCACTCCGGACGGAATGGTTGAACGCCACATCAGCCTTGAAATTGGTGCTGGATCACCTTTTACGATGGCAACGCTGATTCGGGGCGCTTGGTCACTCGTGGCATCACAATACACCGGGAGTGATGATATTGTGTTCGGTGAGACCCTTATGGGTCGTGATATCGCTTTACCTGGAGTCGAAGGCATTATAGGTCCCTTGATCGCTACTGTACCCGTCCGGGTACATGTCCACCGAACAAGCTCTGTTGAAGCTTATCTTCAGAGCGTACAGCAGGCAATGCTGTCACGCACCCCTTACCAACATATGGGTATGCAGAACATCAGAAAAGTAAGCGAAGATGCTCAGCGTGCATGTGAAACCGGCACGGGCTTGGTCATCCAACCAGATCCTGAATATGTCGGTGGTGAACTAGGGTTTGAAGTGGGAGACGTCGTACGCGAAGCACTGCACTTCAACCCGTATCCAGCTATGCTGGGCTGCGGTATCCAAAAGGGCGGCTTCAGGATTTGTGCAAGTTTCGATACCAGCCTGGTTGATGTTACACAGATGGAACGGATTCTTGCACAAGTAGAGACAGCGTGCTCGCAGCTGTTAAAGGATCCTTCAAGAAGAATCGGCGAGATCTCCTGCGTGCCCGGCGAAGAACTGAACCAGATATGGCAGTGGAATGAGACACCGCCGTTATCTCTGGACGAGTTAACCGGTAAGCTTCGTGCGGGTTCAACAATTAAGCAAGGATCACAGTACCCTCGTGTTGTCGTGCCATGGGTATGCGACCCGCGAAACCCATCTCGGCTGTCACCCATTGGCTGTGTCGGTGAACTTTGGCTCGAAGGCGCTCTGCTTGCAGCCGAAACTGTTGATTCTCCGGCCTGGCTTGTTGCTGGAAGTCCCGCTTTTGCTGGTCGTGTTGGACGAGTGCAAGCAACTGGCGATATGGTCCAGTTACGAGAAGATGGCGGTCTGATCTTTGTTGGCCGAAAGGAAAATGTTGTAGGAGTTCAGGGACATGCGGTTGATATTGCTGATCTCGAGGCTCACCTCCACAAACAACTTCCATCAAACGTTCGCGCCGCTGCTGCTGTATCCCAGGCTCCCTCGGAAGAACCTGAGCTGGTTGTCCTTGTAGAGCAACAACCCTCCGGGGAATCCAATATCACCCTTACATCAGAGAAACATGATATTCCTTTCAACTTGCCGGATTCACAAAGCCCCGAAGCAAGAATCAGTACTGTGATTCCAGTGAGCCTCGGTTTGGCACTGAAGAAGCTCGACAAATTCATCCGCGACAACCTTCCAGCATACATGGCCCCATCGGCCTATGTCGTCGTTGACAAGCTTCCCACAGAGACAGGGCAAGTCGATCACAGTTTCCTCAACCAATTCGCCTCGAAAATCCCTCGAGATACGGTGGCTCAGATACGTGAATCCCTCGAAAGCGCATGGAAGAACATCAATGCACAGTCCGATCTTACAAGCAACGAAAGAATTCTACGAAATTCTTGGGCAGCAATCTTGAAAATCAGCACCGAGAAGATCGATCTTGACGATAACTTCTTCCGCCTTGGTGGTGACTCCGTCCTAGCGATGAAGCTGGTGTCGAGTCTGCGCGAGCAAGGACATAATCTGACTGTGGCCGACGTCTTCCAGCACATGCGTCTTGGGGATGCCGCTAAGAGAATGAAGGTTGACATAAGACCAAAGGGGAAGAAAAAGCAAACGTACAAGCCGTTCTCGACGCTAGAAGACTCCCAGGGCGTGGAACGCTTCTTGTCGGAGATCATCCGCCCCAAATTATTGGATTCAAACTGGTCTATTCGCGACGTATGTCCCGTTACAGATTCGCAAGTGCTGGATATCAAAGGAACCGTCAGCGAACCACGGACTTCTATCCAGTATACACTCTTACACTTCGACCGAGGTATTGATGCAGAGAGGCTTCTTCGCGCCTGTAACGACTTGGTCAAGACACATGACATCCTACGCACAGTCTTTATCGAGCACGAGTCGGTTTTCCTTCAAGTTGTTTTGGATGCGTTGGATGCTCCTGTAACCAAGCAGCAAACGGACAAGGATTTGGAACAATATGTTACCGAACTTTGCACAGCAGACATTGAGTCACCTTTTCAACTCGGCTCACCATTCCTCAATTTCTTCCACATCGAGGGAGCCGCAGGCCAGCACTCCCTGGTTCTTCGCCTATCCCACGCCCAGTATGACGGGATATCCCTACCCCGTCTCCTCCGTGATCTCGAAACCCTCTACACTGGTCAAACCATCACCGACTTCGAGCCCTTCCCCTCATACATCTCCCAAATCCGTGACGGGTCTGCCCAAGACAAAGCAATCTCCTACTGGCGCAACCTGCTCGGCGACTCCTCGCTCTCCGTGCTTCCGGGTAAAACAACCCCCCACAACCCAACAGACAAGGGCGTGTTCCACCACAAAGCCGTCGACACTCCAACCCAACCCTTCGAAGAATTCACCACAGCCAGCCTCCTCACTGCGGCCTGGGCTGTACTTCTCTCCCGCCGCCTGCGCACAAGGGACGTCACCTTCGGCAGTGTCACGTCGGGCCGCATCCTCGAACATATCGACAACACCGAGAACGTTATCGGGCCTACTTACCAATTCACTCCCATCCGCGTCCCCTTCCAGGCTCAGCAGTCCTGGACCCCAACCGCCCTCCTCCATTTTGTGCAGTCCCAGAGCGCGGAGTCAGCTGCGCATGACTTCCTGGGCTTCGATCGTATTGCCAAAAACTGCACAGAGTGGCTGTCGTCTTCATCTTCGTCTTCTGCGACCTTCTTCGACTCCATGGTGCACCACCAGGACCATGAAGACTTTGATGCCATGCCGTTCGCTGGTGGAGAGTGTAAGGTTGATATTTCCAACCCGCATGGTGACGCTGCACACCCGGTTAAGGTTGTCTCATTTGTGCGAAAGGGTGAGTTGCACTTCGGCGTTGTTGGCAGCGAGAGGGATGTGGAGTTTGTGGATGAGGTCTTGGATCAGTTGGCGAGGACTGTTGAGGAGTTGGTTAGGGCCCCTGAAGATGTTTTGGTTTTGGGTGAATGATTTCTTGTATAAACTTTTCAGTATGATATATATACCGTTTTTTTTTGTCGTTGTTCTCATAGATAGCCAGCCCATTGGATGTTAGAGATAGATTATTTTATCTGCGTTTCTTTTTTTCAGGCACAGATGTCTGTCTTCAACTACAAAGTTTGTTCGTCTAGACTCCATCACCAAGCAGGTTTAACAACACCATACCAGCACAATCCAAGCACGGCACCTACCAAAATCGCCACTGCAGGAGGGACCCTAAACCACGCACTCTCGGCATAAGTGACAGCAGCAACAACAACCCACCAAGGCTCCTTAGCCAGACTCTGCCCGTCTTGTTCCGACGGAGCCAAATACCCAATTTCCCAAAGCCGGTACACCGCTGTAAATACCAATCCTACAGCAGCTGCATTCACGCCGCGCAGGAAATCAATAACATACTTCTGCCTCCGCAAGACACGCCAGAAGGATTGGATTGCGACAGCAAGCGTGATTCCGGGGAAGAAGATCCCAAGTCCACCGAGAAATGCACCGAGGATAGTTGGGTATGGTGTTGTCCGGAGAGCGAGTGCTCCAAGAAAAACCGCAAAGTTGAAATTTGGGCCGGGGAAAGCTTGGATTATAGCGAGACCAATTAGGAAGTCTCGACTTGACACCCAGCCTGGATCTACAACGTACGACCGAAGCATGGGGATGACAACAGGGCCGCCGCCGAAGATCACTGTACCGGCTAGGTACATGTTCGCGAAGAGGTCAAGCGCTAACGGTGGTGAAGCGAGCTTGGATCTTGAAACGAGAATGGCGATGAAGGATGCTGCGGTTTCTAGATCAGCTTTTACCTATCTTATTTGAACCTCCAGGTGGGGCATACTGAAGAAGAAGACAAGGATTGCAGCCCCAACACGAGTGCGGATTATATGGTCCTGTGACGGTTGCTCTTCCCTCTCCCCTGAAGCTGAAGCTGGGATATTACTTGGGCTTTGCGCCAATGCCTCCGTACCAGATTTCCTCAGTCGTAACATCTCTGTCCCCGTCCCCTGTCCCGAGTTCCTCGCAGATGTAGGTTCCGTGCTCCGCAGACTGGGTGCATCGCCCTCTGGCTCAGGTTGCCGGTTTCTATTCTTCCAGGCCCTTGCTGCCCTCCCAATCTGCTGATACAACCACCCATCCCATATCGCAGTAGCAAGACCGCCAATAACCATGAGGATAGGGAAGTACCAAAGTGCGCTATAGCAGAGGCCAGCGCACGCGCCGAAGATTACCAAGATCCGGGAGATCTTATCGCGGATCGCCTTTTCAGCTAATTGAACAGCAGCAAGAGCAATTATGCCTACAGTTGAGGCATTCAGTCCAGAGAGAAGGGCGTAGACTGGTGGGGGGAGTGTTTCGTCAATTCGTTGCACGCCGAGGGAGAGGGCATACATTCCGATTGCACCGGGGATGCTAGCAGATTGCTAATAGTAAGCTTTGAAACCATCATAAATGGCGATTTGATAGTCGGTATACATACCACCAGAGGAGAAATACAAGCAAGGCCGGGATAAACCCCGCGTGGAGCAGCGCTAGACAGAATAACATCTTTGTAGAGGCCGGCCCCGGAAGACCCTGGCATATGGCAAACAGCTCTTGGTACTATGTGTATCAATTAGTTTCTCACTATAGCTGTCTTCAGCCAAGCAAATATGTACCGTCTGCTCATCAACCCACTTCTCCTGCTCGACAAACCGCGTATGGAAGATCTGGAAATGAACCGGTGGTCCCCCAAAAGATGTAAATCCTAGATACCAGGTATGGCGAATGGTCTCACTCAAGCGACCCAGCATGCGATCTTTTTGACGCCCAGGGCCTGTTGCTTCTGCATGACTCCGCCATTTCCGATTCAATGCGCGTAGGGACGAGGCAAGTCGCGAGCGTGTTGGGATGAGCATGACAAATTGTTCATCCCCGAGACAGTTAAATCAAAGCGGGTGAGAGAAAAAGAGAAAACAATTATACAAGAAGATGAAAGGTTATAAACCCCGGATGGAGCTGTCATTAATCCAACAAAAAGTCTCCGGCCGAGCACATGGCCGCCAAGAGACCCCCTCAGCGGGAGTCTTGGCATGCTGTATGTCACTGCGCTCATTCAATTGGCCGCGGTCTTTGAAGTTGATTTGAGGATCTTCTCTAGCCAACAAAAAATTACAAATTCTATATTCTATACTCTATAAATTAATAGTACCAGTGCCCGAAAATCACGCTTCAAATCCCTCAGGTTGCCACCGTCTGGTGCATAACGTTGGCCCTGTAGCTCTCCGAGCTGGCCAACAGCTCGTCGTGCGTTCCGTGCTCAACACATCGACCAGCCTCAATCAAGAAAATTACATCTGCTTTTTTGATCGTATGCAAGCGATGCGCAATAGCAATCACTGTGATTCCCTTCGCAGCCCTCTCAAGCCCCTCTTGCAGAAGTTTCTCAGACTCCGCATCAAGGGCGCTAGTGGACTCGTCAAGAATCAACACCTTCGGTTTCCGAACAAGAGCTCTGGCAATGGAAAGTCGTTGTTTCTGGCCACCAGAGAACTGGCTCCCGTTGGGACCACAGAGGGTCTCATAACCGTCTGGTAGGGCTTGGATGGTGTCATGGATATTGGCTAGCTTGCAGGCTTCTTCAATATCGGTCATGGAAGCTTCATGACCAGGTTTCGCGCCGAGACCGATATTAAACTTGATTGTGCCTTCGAAGAGGACACTTTCTTGAGGAACGAGGGCGACTGAGTTGCGGAATGTGACGTCTCGGTGCTTTGTGATGTCGTTACCGTCGATGACAATGGAGCCTGACTCCGGCGTATAGAGGCGCTCGACCAGGGAGATGATTGTCGATTTTCCGGCACCACTAGGACCAACGAGAGCGCAGAATTTGCCCGGTTTAATGTCAATTGTTAGCCCATTGAGAACCTTAATCTCCGGCCGGGCAGGATATGAGAAGTGGACGTCACGGAGCTGGACGCTGGATGCCTTGTTGTCTGACGGGTGAGACGGTTTTGCTTCAATAGCGGCCTCAGCGTCTTCTGATGGTGGTGGTGCAGTGAGAGAACGATTGTGTACGTGTCCCTGCATTTTGTCTGACCCTACCTCGATAAGACCCAGTAATCTAGCCATTGCAGCTCGGGCATTTGAAAGCTCCGGCGCGAGGGCAAACATTTGACTCCATAGCAATGCACTGACAAGAAGCGAGAATACCACAATCAGGAACTGCGTCTGGTCATAGTTGCCCGCTAGGATTTGTTTGGAACCCCACCAATAGGCCAAGGCGTTCACAAGGTTACCCAAGAAGTAAGTCATCGCTTGCCAGAAACTTGCTTGAAGCGTGACCGAAAGCGTCTCCTTGCGTGGACCCTTCAAAGAGCGCCGGTAAGTCCCTAACGTTTCGTCCTCTAGAGAAAGGGACGCAACTGTCTTGATAGATGTAATTGCTTCAACACCAATGTCCACTGATTTGGTATAAGCATTTTCGTGACGCTCTTCAAACTTTCCAAGTACTAGAAGCTCCATAATACCAGCCCCAAGCAGAAGTGGAACCAGAGCCAGACACACCAAAGCGATTCTCCAGGCAACGATATGGGTCATAATGATGGCCGCGATAAGATTGACAGTAATGGAAAACAGGGTTCCAATCACAGAACCACTCAGCCCGGCCAAAGCATTGCCATCTCTGGTTATGTATGAGAGGAGTAAAGGAGGTGTCCGGCCTTTGGATTGATGCCATTGGAGGTCTTGCTCCATCAGCGATCGGAAAGATAGGACACGGACGGTGTAGACAACTTTCTCAGAAACCCACCCAAATCCAGCCCAACTGGCTATGTTCCCAAAGAACTCGATGATTGCGAGTACGAAAAACATGAGTCCGAAGAATTCACCCTTGTTCCGGATGTCTTCCGCACTGTTACATGGGTTCAGACTCCCAACTGTTTTTCCGAAAATCACGGCTTCACCAGAGAAGGCTCCTCCAACGATAGTAGAGCCAAGAAGAGCGAGAGCAATCATAAGCAGGTGTGGCCTCACAGCCGGTGCGTAGCCCCGTATAAGAGCCCAGAGTGATTTAGTCGGCGTCTCAGGGTCTTCCGACTCCTCTACAGAGTCGGTGACCGGGGTTTCACTCGTTGTGGGTTTCTTCTCGTCGATGTCTCCTATACTGGTGTTCTCTAGGTCATCATCGGTTGAAGAGACCTCCGTAGTCTTGCTGTTACTATCAACGCTGGCTGTTGATTCATTCTTGTCAAGGGTAGATCCGAGAGTTTGTAGTTTGACCAGATCAGCATATGCGCCGTTCTTCGCCATCAATGTTGGATGATCCCCTTCCTCCACGATATGACCTTTGTGCATAACGATAATATTATCTGCGTTGGTAATTGTCGATAAACGGTGAGCAATTGTAATCATAGTTCTTCCGCTAGCAATATTCGAGATGGCGCGCTGGATACGCTGTTCGCTTCGCGAATCTAATGAAGCTGTAGCTTCATCCAAAATTAGGACCGCGGGGTCCTTAACAAGGGCCCTAGCAAGAGCTATGCGTTGCTTTTGACCACCGCTAATTAGCCGCCCACTTGAACCGACGATAGTACCATATCCATGCTTCAATGCCGTGATGAAAGCAGCCGCATCTGCGAGTTCTGCTGCTTTCTGGACCAGTTTGACGATTTCGACAAATTCTGGGCCCTTCTTCTCTGCAGCACCCATTAAATCATTTCCCTCTCTAGCCTCTCGCGCTATCTCCACAAGTTCAGGGCTATGGAGAGCAGTTTTCAAAGACGCATGGCTAGCATTGCTCGAATTAACCAAGCCATGTGCGATATTCTCCAAAAGGGAACGGTCCAGTAGGGATGGCTCCTGCTGCACCAGACTGAGGAAGCTTCTCAGATCACGGGTATTGACGTTACGAAGATCGTGACCATCGAAGAGGATATGGCCCTCCGTAGGGTCATACAACCTTGTGACCAAGCCGGCAATAGTTGACTTGCCACTCCCCGAAAGACCGACGAGGGCAGTATGTTTTTTGGCCGGTATGCTGAGAGTAACTTTGTCGAGGACGGTAATCTCGGGCCTCGAGGGATAGGTGAATGAAACCTGATCGAACTCGAAGCCGCCTTCAGCCTCTGGAAGACGAACGCCCGAAGGTGCAGTGCCGTCGATCAGCGGTTCGCGGTCGATATCTCCACGCAACTTCTCAAATGAGGCGACAGCTTGTACGAATAAGTGTAGGAATGGTGCAACCTGGCTCAGCAGCAAAGTCGCTTCGTCTATGTCAGTGCAAACTGCGCGGCAAGGCCGATCCTAGGGTCACTAACCTTCGACCAAAATAAAGATGACCGTGAATGTAGCACCAACAGTGATTCCACCAGACCCATCACCGTTTATGGAACGGGCAATCTGTCTGCTTCCTTCCCAAAATGCCAACCCGTTCGCACCATAAGCAATGAAATACAGAACTCCGGATTGTATGCCAACCGCCGTGGCCTTCTTTAACCCCTCATGTTCTGAAGACTTGAGAGCTTTGGAAAATTTCTCCTCCAAGCGGTCGTTTGCCCCAAAGGCCTGTACAACGACGAAATTTGAAAGCGCTTCTGAAGCAATCGAAGCGGCGGAGGCAGCATAATTTGACATAACGCCAGAATACTTCTCGATATAGTGGCTTCCCACAAATGACATCAAGAAATAGGCTGGAATCAACGAAACCAGCATTCCTGCAAGCTTGGTATCCTTGATAAATGCAATAATGTACGCCGTGACGAAAAAGGAAAAACTTGCAAGGCATATTCCTACCTTCTCCGACGTACCCGAGCGGATTGTTTGGATGTCATTATTTAGTCGCGAGGCTACCTCTCCCGGTGGAAGGTCATCGAAGTATGATGGCTCTTGGCGAAGTAGATTCTGCAGGTAATTTTCTCGCAGTCGCTGTGCCAGTCGAGCGCCGTTCAGGGTCCAAAATGTAAGGTGAATGTAGATTAAAACGAACTGGGCAATTGCCAGGTAGACAATGAGCAGGATCTTGTCGTCGATGCCTCCTTGCTGATCGGAATCGGAATCAGAGCCGGAGTCATTATTACATGTCGCCGAGTTAAAATCGTCGAGAAGCTGACCGAACACGATACCAATCAACGGAAATGGGACACCCGATGCTATTGAGCTCGCGATCGCGACCAACAGCATGCCCAGGTCGACTTTCGAAGGATTGCCGGCCAGCAGCAAGCGAGGGAAGCCCGCAAGATTCTGAGCAAGCTTCATCCTGAGTTTGAAAATCTGCAGTGTGAGCTTGGCGTAATCGCCAAGTGCACCAGCTGGGAGTTGCTCAATTTATCAAAGACCATGTCGTTCGGCTGGCGGCGATATTGCCCTACAAATATGGGTTCCACGCAGAAAAAAAAGTGGCCCTCCCTCCTATCTGATGGAATCCCCACCGTGTTTAGGACGTTTGAAGAGCCACGCTGATCATGCGCAAACAGGTAACAGTGTCTGGAGTAACAAAATGCGCGTCAGTAAAGCATGGGATGGGCAGGGAAAAGCCATAGTTACGTAAGTGGGTCGCAACTATCAATCTCTAGCCAGTGGATGGAAAGATCCGAGATGGGCTGAGAGCCTGAGAGGGCGAAGCGACGTGCCGACATCGCGATGGAGCCTGAACGCTGTTGAATCTTTGGACGAAGAAGCTCTGATGGATACCAAAATCAACAGTCAATTCCGAGTGCGTGGGATCAGTTTCCACAATACTTAAAATACATGGCACATGGGTCCGTATTGTTCCCGCCTGGTAATAAACGGTAATATTTGATCTGATGTAATCTATACAAAACCATACGTACAGCCTGAACCGTTCAATCCTCTCGGATTTTCTCACAATTTTCCCACAATTTTCCTCCGCAGCTCCATCGCTTCTTGGTGGGCGATCATGGCCTGAGTCCCGCGCTTTCCGGCATTTCTTCACCGTCATCTTTGTCGCAAAGTCGCCAACTTACAACCCCCGGCAGAGGAAACCTGCTGTCTCCTTGAACAACTGTGAGAAAGCAGCCAATGCCACAATGTCGGTGTTGCAGAGACCGCAGTCTTCAAACAGTGAAGACTCCCCTTTGCTGGGGGGCAGTCCATTACCGAGAACAGGGCATCATGCCCCCACAGAAAGTCCAGATACCGCTCAGGATGGGGTGAAGCAAGCCGAGGCCATCACGTTGGCCTGGTCGAAGAAATCTTTAGTGGCGGCCTACGTCCTGTGAGTATTCCATGCGATGGGCTTCCAGTTAAAAGCAATAACTGACCGCGACGGGGCAATAGGATGTTTCTTTTGTACTTTGTGAATGCCTTCCAATCCTCAATCACCAGCAATCTCTCGGCCTTCGTCACTAGCGGCTTCGAATCGCATTCCTTAATTCCCGTCATCTATATCGTGTCCAGCGTCATGTCATCCGCAACTTATATGCCTCTCGCAAAGATATTGAATGTTTGGGATCGCTCCATCGGCTTCTTGATAATGGTGGTGTTTGCGACACTGGGTTTGGTCTTGTCAGCGACGTGTACGGGTATCACAACCTATTGCATATCACAAGTAGGTTTACCGGTGCATGAGATAAACATGCGACAAGAAGCTTACTATCGCAGATGTTCTATACCATCGGCTTTGCTGGCGTGATCTTCAGCATCGACGTGATCACAGCTGATACATCGTCGCTCCGCGATCGAGGCCTTGCATATGCTTTCACTTCGTCACCTTATATCATCACCGCGTTTGCAGGCTCGGCTGCCTCTGAGCGCTTCTATGCCTACAATTGGCGGTGGGCGTATGGCAGTTTTGCTATTATCCTTCCCATCGTCGCTCTTCCAATGTTTGGTCTACTGCAGTACAATCGTTATAAGGCGAAGCGCCAAGGTCTTTTGCCCAAAAAAGAACACAACGGCCGGACATTCATACAGAACATTGCCTTCTATGCTATAGAGCTAGACCGTAAGTGACGATATCGCTTAATCTTCATGCATACGCTGATTTCTTTTATCAGTTCTGGGGGTCTTTCTTCTGGCGACTGGTCTGGTGCTTTTCCTCCTTCCATTTACCATTGCTGGGTCTACAGCCAATGAGTGGAAGTCTCCCTATATTATTACCATGCTTGTTGCTGGCGTCGTCTGTCTAGTCGGGTTTGTCTTGGCAGAGCGCTTTGTTGCCCCGGTTCCCTTTCTCCCATGGGAGTTGCTAGCCTCTAGAACGGTTCTTGGGGCTTGTCTTCTAGGGACCTCGTATCAGATCGCCTTCTACTGCTGGAACGAATACTACACATCATATCTGCAGGTAGTCTATGGGACAAGCATCTCAATGGCGGGATACATTAGCAGTATCTTCAACGTGATTTCTGGGGTGTGGCTTCTGGCTGTTGGTTTCTTAATGAAGAAGACATCTCGGTTCCGATGGCTACTTTTTTGGGCCGTCCCATTATACATGCTTGGGGTGAGCCTGATGATCTACTTCCGTCAACCCGGTTGGTCTGTGGGTTATTTGATCGTGTGCCAGGTGCTCATTGCATTCGGAGGCAGTACCATGATCAGCTGCCAGCAGGTTGCAGTTTCAGCCGCGTCTGATCATAACAACATCGCTTCCGCCCTTGCCTTTCTGGGCGTTTTCGGCTCCATGGGAGGTGCCGTGGGAAGTAGCATCTCAGGCGCAATTTGGACAAACACTTTACCTGGGGCGTTGAAGCGCCTACTCCCGGAGTCTGCAGAGGCGGACTGGCGAATCATCTACGAGTCGCTCGACACCCAACTGAGCTATCCCATAGGCTCACCAGTCCGAAATGCCATTGCCTTTGCTTATGCTGAAACACAGACCAAGATGCTGACTGCCGGAACGGCTATTATGGCGCTTTCTCTGATCTGGATGTTCCTGATTAAAGACATCAAGCTCAGCAAAGGCGCTCAAAGAAACGGTGTCGTGTTTTAGCTTCTTTCTGAGCCGGCCTTTACAACCTATTTGCTTACGACCTTTGTACGAATTTACGACTTATTTACTTGACCATTATCGAATGTTTAGACGCAGTTATAAATTGATAGAGAACTACTCTAGATATAGATAAACGAAAGAGTCTATATACAACAGCTGTATCTAGCATTAATCCCTCAATTGAACACTTTATACGCCTTTCAAATACGCCATCACCCTCCCAACGAGGTTTTTCCTCGGCTCTGCCTGATCATCGTTACTCAAGGCATGCGAAGCCCCAGGCACAAGCCCACTCCCCTCTTCATCCCAAATCTCCGCTTCACCCTCAGCCCTCCCACCATCTAGCGCCTTCCTCCATTTTCGTAATAAACCGTCCTTATCAACCCAGTCCGGGATCGCCTGGTCCGACCCGGAAATCAGAATCATCAATCTATGCGCCAACAATCCGCCCTGCCTAACCTTCCCAAACGTCTCCGCCAGCTGCTCGTCGCCCAAATCCGAGCTAAACAAATCATCCTCTCCCGGGCTCGCTGGACTCCCCGGCGAAACCAGACTCAAAAACCGACGCGCCGACAACGGTACATTGCCGGGATACCCAATGACCCCAGTCATATGGAGCGGTAGCAAGCTATCAAACGCCGGGTCCGGATTCCGAGCGACCTCTTCGCGCGCCAGCTTCTCGAGGTCCTTGTAGATTTGTTGCACTTGCGCCGGGGTTCGGCCCATCCAGCCCTGGCTAAGGACCCATTGGATGGCTTCGCGGTCTGAGACAGGCGCTTGCATGATTGCGCCGTCGAGCTTGGTACGCGTAACGTGCTCGAGATCGGTGTCGAAGCCCTTGACGCTTGTGTGGGGGTTTGGTTTGGTGAGATAATGCAGCACGCATTGGCTGCCCGTGGAGTGGCCCATTAGGACTATTTTTGCGTTCGCGTTGAGGGTGGTGTTGGTTAGTTTGCCGGTCTTGTAATCTCGGATGTAATTCAGGCATTGTGCGATCTCGTCTGTGTCGCGGTCTAGGTGGCCTAAGCCCCAGGCAGAGTGTGAGGATGTGAGGTTCAGCGTGAACAGGGACCAGTCTGTTGGTTGGAGGGCTTGGGCAAGGTCCGCCATGTAGGAGGTCGTTGCGAGGCCATCGCCGAGGCCTCCGACAAAGAGGAGAGTGTGTGGTTTAGGAGTTGGGGATGTTGTGAATTCAAATGTTACGAGGGATTCGGTCTGCCGGCGCAAGAGGGTTAGAGCTTGGAGGATGCTAAATAGAACACTTTATACATACGTAGTGGTGAAGACGGCCAGGGAGGCCTCCTGCAGGCCAAAATTTGGAGTACATTCTGGGATATGAAGCTTTGAGGGTGAGGACTTGGGGATTGGAATTTGTATGGAGGGGTAGAGTTGTAGGGAGAGACTCAGGTTGAGCTCTTATCAGATGGTTTCATCATGTGCCTAGTTACTAGCTGGTATTCTAAAATGAGTCCGCTTCTATTTTCCTTCACAATCCCACTTTTCCGTCTTCTCGTCAACTGGTTTCTCGGTCTGTCCAAAATATACGCCTGTATCGGCGTAATCAATACAGTACGTGGGTCATGCCACGTTACAAGTGGATCTCGTTAGCCAAATACACGCTAGTAAATACGCTAAAATGACAGATCCAGGATCTGATAAGATTGTGTCTCGGCGCAGCCACTCGCTTCGGTTAAAGGGCAAAAGAAAATATTATCAATCACTCATGATGGAGCCAAAAAGCCCACATATCGTGGAAGAAGAGCGAGGAGCCGAGGACTCGTCATTTGCTGGGCTGTTTCGAGCATGGTTAGCTAAACAACTCGAATGTTCCATGCAGAGAGTTCTTTTTTCGACATTCATGGTGGGGACCAGCATGAACACTACAGACGACTGGCTCCCTTGCATTTTCTGAATGCACAAGTTTGTGCTACGATCAGATAACAGGAATCTTGGCAGGTACAGGATAAATCACCGTTAATTACGGTGATATGATAAGCTTTTCCTCTCTTATCTGAAAAAAGTTGCAACTTGGATGATATTCATAGTTAAATATATATTTCCATTCTCTTCGTGCCGCATCCAAGTTAACTAAAGCCTCTCTGATTCAAATCACTGGCTCTAGCAATTCAAAAAAGGACTTAAACTGTTAATATGAATGTCGCTCAAACGTCGAATCTATGACCGCTTGTCCCGATGCAAGTAAACAAGGTCACATGACACCATCAACCGCGACCCAAACTCCAAAACTGAGCGGAGGTTCAAAACCGAAGCCACACCATCAACGCCTATATAGACAAACAAAAGTCGCGCGCAGAATTATCGCGGGATACTACACAAATCCAAGAAATGGGAAAATGAGCCCGTACTACGATCTGATCTCATGGCATGGCAACCAATGACACCAACAACAATGCCGCGAAGCTCAAGCCAAAGCCCAGCCTCACCTTCTACCCGGCCTTTTGCTTCAAGGCCTCGCCTACAAATTTCACATGGGTGAAGATAGGTGCTGCGGATGTGCATCGGTTGAAGAGAAGGGTGGGGTTTGGAGGAGGTCCGTTATCGCTATTCCCCTCGCGTTTTTGCTTGTCGAACCTATTGCTAATGCACTCAAACCGGGGGTTAAACAGAACAAGGCCTATTCTTCTACCAAAACCACCCAATCCGCTTTGTAAATCTAGTCGGCATAATCGTGGCGCGCACTGACGTTCCGCGCCGAACGATTCTAACGCTCGACGATAGCACCGGCGTGACGGTTGACATTGTTGTTTTGAAAGGGGATCCTGCGTTCATTTCGACTGCGACTTCGTCTAACTCGCGTACCTTGAAGGGGGTGAATGACGGCGATGGCGACAAAGATGAGACTCAGAAAGAGTACCACGTAACGTCAACAACCCAAACCCCGATGGACATCACATCCTTACTGCCGGGACGGCTTTTCCAAATCAAGGGCACGTTGTCGGTTTTTCGCGCGACGATGCAGGTTCAGCTTGAGCGGTTCTTTACAGTCCCCGATACTAATGCTGAGATGCGCTTTGTTGAGGCGCGCTGCCGGTTTCTACTTGAGGTGCTTTCTGTGCCATGGGTATTGGGGGAAGAGGAGATTGCTGCTCTGAGGGTGGAGGCTGATGAGGAGGGGTGCAAAATCGAGGAGGATCATGCGAGGGTTAGGAGGAGGGAAAGGAGAAAGGCTGAGAGGGAGGAGAAAGATAGAAGGAAGATAGAAAAGGCATGGGAGCGGGAGGAGGCATTGAGAGAGCAAGAGGCTAGGGTCGCTCGGGAGGCGGGAATGGAGTATATGCGCGAGGTCGAGAGACAGCGCAGCAAACCAACCTAAACGGTTGGGTTATATAAGTGTTTATATCACGATTAAATAAATTTAAATAACAGCGCATACATTTGTGGTATACATTGGCTGATAACAAACAGCATATGGATATCATTCGTTCGTCATAAATCGTCAAAGCAACGCTACTTCACCCAAGAGTAGTAAACCATACGAAACTAAGACAACACATGTAAACGACAAATATTAGATGTACAGATCATGAACACATTATGTCCCAAAAAAAAAATTAACAAAAAGCAGCAATTACCGATAGCTCTTGTAGTCGTATCCCGACCCAACTGGTCCACCACCTTGTCCACCTAGCAAGCCGCGGTAGTAATCTTCGTCGCCCGACCAGGTAGACCGCGAGGGGAGGCTATCATGGTACTTGCTCTTCTCGCGCTCCTTTTCACGTTCACGGATCTGCTCGTAGAGTCTCTGGTCTTCTGCACTCCTGTCAAGTTCGCGGTACTGGTCAAGTAGTTCGCCTGTGTGTGCCGATGAAGGCGGCTGGTCGTAGTAGTAGTCCCCGCTCGACGTTTGTCCTGGATTCCGTGGGCCATTCATGAGGTCAGGCTCTGAATGCCTGTAGTCATGGCTGGGATGAAATCCGCGCGAGTGACTCCTGGATCGCGTAGATGTGTCTGCTCTGGGGCGTCTAGGCCCTGTAGACCCGCTACGATATGGAGGGGAGTGAGTAGCACGAGTCACTGAGGGCCGGGCATCTTTGGCGCCTGAGTTTGTGGAGAATGAATTCGCATGCCGGTGTGTAGGCGTTCCCGGTCCTTCATATACTTTCCCTCCTCCTGGGTTTGCAGAGTAGGGTTTGCGCGTTCGTTCGATAGCAGGAGGAGATTGTTCTTCATCCTCATCATCGACAACAGCTACACTTGGCGGGCGATATCCCTTCTTGTCCCGTTCATTCGTTGAGTGATTCGCCAGGTGACTCGCTGGGTGGCTCGACTCTGCGATAGGAACACCAGGACTTGCAGACGACTTATGGCGCTGGGAGGCGACCTTGTCGATCTCTTCATCGGTAATTGGCGGCAGTTCAATGCCACAGTGTTTCATGATATGTTGGTCAAGCACATCGCGCAAACGAAGATTGGGCGTTTCTGGGAATAGCCGCCGGGGAATTTCTTTCGGGAACCGCTCTTTTCTGTTGTCTGGGTTGCTGATTGGCATGTTTAACACGGCCTTCTGCAACCGTTCATACTCTTTGTCCGGATGTGCTTGAATCATCAGTGTAGCGAAAACCTCAAACCCTCGTGGGGTGAGACCAGGAATGTCAGGTCGCTCATCCAGTTTGGCCTGCACCAGATGATGCTCAGCTTCGATGTCACGGAATAATCGCGAAATTGAGGACGTTCGGTCGTCAAAAATATCTAATTCGTAATTAGTAACAAGATAGCCCAAAGGGGAGAAAACCTACTCACCTTGCCAGGGATAAGGGTCTGATGCGATACTGGTATCTGCGTAGAACTTCTGGAGTTTGTCTGGCACCACAACGATTGTGTTCCCAGGAGGATAATTCTCGATCTAAGCGGGTTGGAAGTTAGAACGGAGTTTGTACTAGGTTATTCGGCCTTAACCTACTAAGTGCATTGCGATCCCACGTAAAAATTGTCCCAGCCTTTCAGTAGGCTTGCCTTCGTCAAAGAGCCTTCCCCATATCTTCTCTAAAGTTGTTGGGAAGGTATCCGTCCTCTGCGGAGGCTTCGGGCGTGGATCTCCTCTTTGGCCGTTCTCGCTGAACTGACTGGCAGGCGATTCCCTTGTCTCTTGAGGAGGGGTTGGGCTTGGTCTAGGGTGTACATGGGGAGCACCTGAGAAGTCCGGAGGGGGAGGAGGCTGTTGGTATACCGGGACGGAGGGCGACGGTGTGCTGTGCGAAACTATAGGGGTATGCGGCGCCGAAGGATGCTGATATGGCTGAGGTGACCCCCATTGCGGGGGAGGCGGCTGAGAAGGGTGTTGGTTGCTGACTGGGCTGTTGATGCCGGCTGCACCAAGCTGTTGTATCACATTCGCTGTTATCTGAGCCACGAGGTCAGGCGACACATAAGATGACGGAGCACCACTATTTCCGACGGCTGAGTTCACTGCGTCGTTGATGCGACCCGTTTGGGGGGGAGGTGGAGGGGGCCAAGATGTTTGCTCGCGCGGCGGTTCAGGATAGTAACCCTGAGGAGGGGCAGCATTCATAGGGGCTTGCGGTTGAGGCATATTGAGTTGCTCAGACGCGGACTGGTATGGATAAGGAGGATCGTAGGATGTTGGGTGGCCCTCCGGAGGGTTTATAGGATTGGCATTGTCCGGCTGGCCGTAAGGATTAAAACCATGCTGAAAGCCATCGTATGCCATCAGGACGGTTTGGATCTCCGTTTACCGAATAATCACCATGCAAGATCGGCGTTTGTAAGAGAGGGTCTGGGATGACAAGAGTTATGGAACAATGATGAAGAGACAAAAAAGAGCTTTGTGTCCGGGAAGGCTTTTGTGAGTGAGAGTATGTGGCGCACAAAGCACTCGAGGCAGTGAGGGGCAGCAGAGGAGCTTTGCGTGAGACAGCCGTCCTTTCAGATTCCCCGCAGAAATTCCCTTGTTGTGTCGAGGAGTCAAACAAATCACGAAAGGGTAAAGAAGCGCCAGTACCGGGACCTGCAGTCAGGCATCGAAGAAGAAAAAAAGTAGAAGCTGTCTTCTCTTTCAGCCGCGACCGTTGATGCAGATTCAGGCCATCGGTCATACGTCACAGACGCCCGACTGAAGCCGCCTCCTCAGTAAGCGTGAGATCGGTGGCGGGGATCGTCGCCCTCCCGGCACGTACTTCTGAGCAGGCACCTTTATTTATTTCCTGCATTTACTCTCTTGGAATGACGATAAGAAACGAAGGTTGGCTGGATTGCTCAAATCTAAATCTACCTAAGGCAGAAGAACCATGGTTGCTTCCAATCTGGGTTGCAGCGCGGAACCATTAAAACGGGCTGTAGGGCACTGCATCTAGAGATAGCCAGTGATGTCCTCATCCTCGTCATTGTCAAAATCAACATGATTCTTGACCTCCGGGGTTCGATCGGGAGGGTTTTCAGGGTTTTCAGAACGCCACGCCTGGGATTTTTAGTTAGTACACTGAGTATATCCGTAGTGTCTGGATATATATAAAAGGCTTACTGGGACTTTCGCAAACTTTCTATCGCGAGCATAGGTACGCGCACTTGCAGCAGCGTTGGATCTCTGCACCCCAAATGATGTCCATCCGCTGTGAACCGAGCTTGCGTCCATAGAAGCAAGGTTGTCATGACCGTAAGATCCGTACGCCTTACTACTGTGGGTATCATGGCGCTCGGGCTCAACCCACACCCCTCCTCCCGAGGGAATATTGTCGTTCACGCCAGCAAAGGACGAGTCATATCCAGGATTGTAAGCAGTAAGTTGCCTGGTCGAGCCGGTGATAGAACTATCAATGTGGCTCTTGTGGATTTGTCAGTGTACAAGTCAAACCAGACGTGTGGGTAGATAATCGGAGTGAAACCAACCATAGTAACTGTGGCCTGGGTGTCCGAAATCCCGCCGTCGGTGATCAGTTTGTTTTCGTCCACGACCGGATCTGCCTCCTTGTGACCCTGGACGCAGTCGACGCAACGCTATTCCGATTAAGCCGTGTTAGCCTTGCAGCAACACAGAAACCAGAAAGCGAAAGACTTACGGCGTGCTCGTGCTCCTTGCGTTGATTGATAGCAAAATCATCCAGACCTTTTATCTGATCACAGATACAGCACCGCAGCTCCATGACTTGTCCTCCAGTGCAATTGCGACAGGCCGCATAACCGATATTGTTGGCTCGCTGCCCTTCAACCACGCGGGCGTGGCGGAAGATATCAAGTTGTCTTTTCGAGTAGGCATGCACGTTACGATATTTCTTGCATATCTTACATTTGAGTCTATCTATTGTTAGGACGGGCATCGTTCGGATTCGTGGGAGGCTTGGTATTTCGCTCACTTTTCGGGCAGGGTGACTCCTTCGAGCCTTCGTAGAAGAGGGTATTGTTAGTATGCGTAGTTAGTGTGAGAAGGTCAAGGATATTAAATACTTACTGCCGCTTTTTGGCCTCGCTATAGCCGCCAGCAAATGCACTGGGGGCGCCTGAGACACCATAACCCCGGTGACTTCCCATGGTATCGAAAGGAAAGTGGCCGGGAGTCACAGAGGTTTAACTATCGAGTAGGAGCCCACAACAAATATCCACGTTCAGAAGAGGAGATAAAAGGAGACCTAAACGGCTTCCTGAGCTGCGAGTATTGATGAGTGCTGTTTTCGAATGCTGAGGTTGTTTTCATCCAGCAATCCTTCCCATAGAGATATGTACCGAGAAGCCAATCAGGATTTCAGTGAAGAGCGGGCAAGTGAATAAAAGAATCCAGTCCGTGATGAATGATGGGTAAGGAAGGAGTGTTTAGGAGAAGCAAACGTAACCAAGACTGAAGCTGCAGAAGAAGAGGGAAAAGAAAAGAAGCCGGCAAACAAACAACCTGGAATGACAACATAAGGAAATGCCTGCCACCATTTTAAGTAAGGAAAACAGCGCTGAGCCCGAGCACAAATTCATTCCCATCTGTTTGACTTCCGCCTCACACTCAGAAACCAAAGACAAAGAAACACAGCACCCAGCGTCATCAGGATGGCTAGTTCAGCCCAAGCTGGCTTGTTTGGATATGAAGCAACCAGTGTATGTTAAAATGAGATGTATTATGTCGACACGCGGCTTCCTTATAATTACCTCTATTCTGGAACAAATAAAAGGTATATATCTTCTCCTGTGAATATGTCAGAATTGCTCTAGAACTGACCACAGGTCTTAGACATACCCATACACATTGCGACAACACGCTCAACAACACCGCCAAAACCCAAGATTTTTAGAACCTGCCCCGGCCACAGAGCCTCCTAGGTTATCTGACAATTGCCAGAATAATAAAAAAAGATGCTCGATGAAATTGAGACCAGCTCTCGATGATCGATCATTATGTTTTTCGTCACCAGGGAGGAGCCGTTGATAGGGTGACACTAACATTTATTGTGGTGAGAACAGCTCGGACCCAGATCGCACCCACAGACCACAAGCAAACAGCCTTGCTGGGCCTTCTCGGAGTTTAGTTGTGAAATCAAGGTCTCAGAGTAGGGCGTTGGGCTCGAACATGGTGGCAGTGGGATGGGTACGGGCTGTATGGTTGGCTACCCAATCCACCGCAATGTTCCAACAGAAGTGCAATAAGATGTTCAATTAGACGGAATGGCAAATTTAAACCAATTTCATCAGACTCGGGAAGCGGGAGATCTATCAAGGTCTGCTAACAAACACTTGTCTTCTCGCAAGACTCTGGGTTACTTCTACGTGAGTTAACGAGCACGCCGAAAACTACTTTTATCAACTCCTTTCCTACCTCTTTTTATACCGCTTCCTATGCGTGTTTATTGCGCTTGTGGGTGTAGGGGGGAATAATTGTTTCCAATGTATAACTGCCTTTTTCTTTTCTTTTCTTTTCTTTTTGGTCCTTCAGTAGGATTCAAGCCTTAGGGCACAAGTCAAGCACGAGGTTTGTCACCGACGCGCCAAGGCTGGCAAGGGCGACGGCTGACGAGACGCTTCCCCAACCTCGATCTACACTACTGCGAGAGAATCGAATGACGAGCATATGCGTCAGCTACGATGACACGCATCATGGCGTGTGGGTAGTTTATGCTGTTGGTGTCAGTCTTGATCGCGGTCTCTACTCCACCAAGGCCGGATTACGCTGCTGCCCTCTAGGGCTGCAAACTTATGCAACTAGAGTAACGCATATGGAAACAAAGCGGACCGGTGTTTGCTATGGCTCGTTCTAGATAGGGAGTCTGGCGACCTACCAGGCTACCATCACCGGGAGGAAGCAGTCCGCAATCTGCGAGTAATCGTTTCCTTGAGCCATGGCCGAGCAATCGGATAGGGGCCCCATTTCAACGCCCATGGGGGTTGTGTTTTACGCGAAGTGCCTTGAAATGTGGTGTCAACAATGATTCGATGGGCTTGTTGGATTTCAAACAGTTGCCCTGGGAATCCGGCGAGCCGGAAATTAATTCGGTACATCGGCGTTTGTAGACCATCAATCTGTAACCACTAACAGTGCAAGAAACGGTGGGCGACGACGCAGTCCAAGGGTGATTATTAACCCAGCGGCCCCGTTGATGTCCCGCTGGGACCGTTGAAGGCATGGGGCGTGTTGCGAACTCGTGATGTGCAGGAAAGGGTCGGTTGATCTTCGCTGATGACCTGCTTCTCCAACGGTCTGCTTGCAACAATAATGCTCCTGTCGTCGACGGGACGGGAGGAAGTACCCGAGGCTTCCACCGGATGAAAGAGCGCCAGACGGCAGTCCCACGTTGTCGAGCACCAAATCCCCCTTTTTGCGTCCAGCGCAATTTACGTCAGTCGCCCCTTTGCGATATTCGATGGGTTCCCAGCACTCTGGATGCAGCATCCTTCTGCCGAGTTTTGGGCCCCTAAATCCTTCTGGAAGACTTGGGGAATCGACGGCCCCAGGCGCTAAGGGCACCATTGAGAGTCCGGTGCTCTTGGGAGGAGACGACCACTTGGTGCTGGTGCGCTTTCCCAAGCAGGCAAAGATCACGGGAGCTGGAGGAGCGTGGGCGGATTCGCGGAAGCACTAACTGGGACGGCCCTCCGCCGAGTGGATTCAGTCCGCATTCCCCGAGCGACTCAGCCTGCAATAAAATCGAATCAACCGACCGCCCCACGGCCGAATCCGCAGGCTCGATATCCAGTCACTGGCCATTTCCAGAGACGCGGAACCTCATCTTGCCAATGGTCAGCCGGTCGGCGGGTCACGCACCGTCTCCAGTTGGCCAGGAGGTGGAGGTGAGCCTGGTGAGAAGTTGGGCCACAATAATGCCCATCACCGGCGACCGTGTCTGCGATCCTGCTGCCCGACTTTCGGGACGACAGCAATACGTACTCCCTGGATCTTTGGTTATGGATCTGACATTTGACATTGCTGCGGGCTTTTCCGCGCTTTTCTCGGCTGTCCCTTGGGGGAACCTCCAGCCACGAACCGGAAACCAAAATTTGTGATCCCCGGCTCTCTTCAGGAACACCCGACGCTAAACCAAACTAAAGGCAACGCCGTTTGCTCCCGTCGGGGAGAGTTTGGAACAGGGGAACATCACCCAGGCAATATCAAACCAACCGTCAAGCCTGCACCAATGATAATACATTTTTCAGGCGAGCGTCGGTGGCAAACAGCTTGGATAATCAGTGGATTTTCCTGGAGGGGGCAGGAAAGCCTCCGCTCCTCAAAAGGAATTGGCCTTTCTTTTTGGAACCTTTTTAGGGACCCATGACTTATGGTCGATCATCAGTTTGTCCCAAGTACCGAGGGCAGAGCAGAGCACTCCTTATACTTGGTACTACAGGGCCACCAAGAGCTCAAGATAGGCCGCGATCCGAACCATTTCGATACCTCGGTTTGGTAATATTGAAGTGGTTTTGTTGACCGGGAGAAGGGGAGCTCCTTACTTACTTCAGCTGCATTATTGAGTAGCGATGCCGTCATACGTATGACCACCAAGGGCGTCTGAACAGCTTGACATGAAAGTTCAGCGTCACACCGTGACTTATTCTATCTCTCGCAGCCTTATTGAAATGACAAGAGCTGCGATACCGAAATTTTGCGAGTTGCCGGAGATTCGGGACGATCTGGCATCGAAGTAGAGCTAGCCTTGACTAAACTTATTCGAAAGATCGGTTAGATGACCACCCGACAGCCATGATTGACGCTTCCAGCAGATCGAGGCAATTATTGGTGTAATAGTCCGGCTTGGGAGCATCCCCGAATGCATGAGGCGGAAGCATCTGTATTGAGGTGCATATGAAGCGCTTCTCAGCGATCCAACGACTCGATATCATATCAAACAATCGATAGACCCAACGGGAACGCCTCTGCCCTGATCAAATCAGAGATTTGGACGCAAGTGTTGATGGTATTTACTGGTCACATCGAGAGCTTGGCTCTGTAACCTGGGATCGCTGGTCAAAGTACGAGGTTCGATGCACTGGCAGGAATCATGAGACTATCTTTTCTTTTTCTGCTTTCCAAGAGGAAGTCCGAGCAGGACTTCTCCAAATCGCCACCTCGAGCATTACACCAGTGTAGTTGCCTGATGGATAGAGACGGACCAGCCACGCAGGCTTCTGCGATTATTGCAGGCTTGCAGGTGAAGTCTTGCGTCCCTTACTTGCACAGCAGATGCTAGCTTATTCACAGCCAGGCTGGTGCAGATAAAACATGCATGAACTGTACTGACCCACAAGCTCGAAATATCAAACACAGGTTTCCAGAGTATGGCCAGCGAGAGGCCGAATGAGGGAAAACAACAGGGACCACCGTGTCGCACACATGTCATGCTGTCACTGGAACAACCACCAAAACCACCACACAGTGCACATTCTTGTCTCCAAAAAGGCTCGCCTGACGATGACCATGATTCGAGGCCCAGTCCAAGTGGGCCTCACTAAGGCAGGGCTTTGGCTTGAACCTTCAAGGCCACGTCTAAGATAGTTAATGGAATTTAACCTGAAAACTCTGATCACAATAATCAATCCTTTGTTTTATTGAGCTACTTTGCTCTCGGGTTCCCCTCATTCTTGGTCTGTGTGCGACATTCAGAGACCTGACAATTCATACCTGACAGAGCGGCGGAGGAGAGTTCGGGCCAACAGCCAACCAATGCCCCGAGCAGAGAGACTAAGCAGTCTAACTCGATGTGATGAATTAGCGACACGCCGGGGCGATAAAACGCGCACTGTATCAGGCATCTGTCACTTTCGAACGCGAAGGACAAAGTTCTGAGATCCCGGCCAGGGGCTGGGAACAAAGAAATCCTCCCACAACGAGGTTGGTGGCGAGGTGGAGATTGCGAGTATCAGAAGCCATATTGATCCATCAGTAATTGAGAATCGGAGGCTGTACTTCTGTCCTCGGCGAGGCGGAAGTGAGAAGTTGAAGCTCATCATCAGTCTTCACATTTCTCCATCGGGTAATCCAGTAACAAACTCCTTTTCCTCCCATGGGCGGCGGTGGGGCTTCCCTCCCACCTTATCCGCGCTGACAAGGTACGATTATT